CGTAACACAACTAAGTCCAATAACTCTGTAAAACTCAGGGATCGCTTTGACCCTGTATCGACATCGTAAACCGGACCGCCTTTCTAAACCGATAAGAAATCAATTTTCCTAATAATATTCCTTAATTCATTCCATGTTTTGTGGTTACTTATTTTAACCCGGACTCTTGTGAGTCCGCTAATATTTTTTGCGGGACAGATGCTCAAGGAGCTCATAAATATTTACTCTGTTTATTATAAAACGTCCATACACATTACGCAACGAAAGAGGTGGTTCCCGCAATAAGGTTGTGAATATAATTGCTTGTTGAAGGCGGATCGATCCCAACAACAGGCGAATCTGTCTCATTTAAATTATTACTTGTTAGAATTGGGTTTTATTTGAATTTATTCTTAACGACCGTAATTATGTAGAAGTTTATCAATTCCAATGTTATTCATCTGTTTTTATTCAAGGCGTTGTTATTCCCCAGGGTGTTGTGCCCGGTAAAAAGATAGTCAGACCAAAGTTATTTATTTATTTATTTATTCATTGTCGCTGCGTACATATGTAACAACGTGATGTTGTTTACTATTGCCGGACTATTTTCAATAGATTCGTCCACTCGTAAGAAATAGGGAAGGTTTCTTTCTATTTTTTTTGAGGGGGGGTAATTTTTGAATTGGAATCAAATACATGTTACATATGGATTATAATTCGACAGAACTAATAAGAAATGTTTTTATTTATTTATTTTTGCATATTAGCATTTTTAGACCTTTCTTCATCATTGACATTTATCAGAATAAAAAAAAAAGATTGATTTCTTATCGGTTTAGAAAAGCGGTCCTGTTCACGATATCGATACAGTGTCAAAGCGATCCCTGAATTTTACAGAGTTATTGGACGTAGTTGTTTTACGTACAAAAAAAAAAAAACAAAACAAAAAAACGACTATTTTTGAGATGGGGTTATAAAACGATTTCTTTTAACTTAAATTAAATAACTAACGACCATATATATATATATATATATATATATATATATATATATATATATATAGGGTGATTGAAAAGTAACTCCCTATTTTATATATAGTGGACTCTCCCGTCCTGTAAAAAAATATAGTTAAATGGGAGAGTCCATCATACATAAAATAGGGAGTTACTTTACAATCAGCCTGAATTTATTTTTATTTTTAAATAAAGAACAATTTATATAAATTAATAAAATTATCTTTCCGTTTATTCTTAATTTAAGATAAAATAATTAATTTCTTCTTATCTTAATGTTCACCATGTACAAGGCCCAAGAGCCATTCGAGGTAGAGGATTACAGAGTAAGAGGCATAGTTTATATGGGGATATGTTTTAAAACAAAAATATTTTTTAAAAAAAGTAAGAAAAGGTTGTTTTTTTGTTTTAATGTAATAAGAAATTAAGCAGATATCAATAATTTTCAAACTTGACATTTGTAAATAATAGCTAAGGCCTAAGGCTTACAGATAACTCTATAAAAAACATTTTGGTATTGTATCGATATTATAAACAGAACCCACGTTCAAAATCGGTAACAGATCAGTGTTTCCCGCTATTTAATGTCTTAGACGATTTCCCTGTCCATCGGGGAGACAGAAAACCTCACATTTATCCTTAAGTACGTACCTGTTTGGAAAAGTGGTCCCAAATTGAATATGTGCCATGCATGATAAGCGACCAGTTCAACTCTCTGTCTCCGGACGGAGAGGAACCCGAAGGAGGCTACGCCGAAGGGCGGAGTCTCCTTCGGGGAGGTAAAACCGGCCCTGAACCCGTTTATACGGGTTCAAACGGGCATATTTTTGGGCCGAGCCCACGGGCTCGGGAATACCCACAATAAACAACCGACCTTGTGTCACATGTTGCCCCAGTGGAGGGGGGACTCAATATCGTGATAAGCGATACGAGACAGTAGATTTTTTTTCCCGCAGTAGGTTGCCATTTCTTTCGGCAATAGACCATCCAAGGCTATAGAACCAGGTCTGCCCTGCTATTTACTCATAGCTGGGGGAGAAGAACAGGATTCATACCTTTCTTAAGGGTATCAGCACGTAAGTGAATGTATTGTAATGGATCCGACTGGAATTCGAACTCGGCTCTCCGATTCCTGAATCCGTAATGATACAATGAAATAAAGTTAAAGAGGAGTGTAGTATTAACATGCAGGCAAGAAATTGCGCTTATTTCACTGGATACAAATTTGAAAATGTAGGATACAGGTTCGATTCTTGTCGGAGGACACATATTTTCTATGAGATACATTAGCAGCATTTACCGACCTGGATGGCCGAGAAATCTCATAGAAAATATGTGTCCTCCGACAAGAATCATATATATATATATATATATATATATATAAAAATTTACGTTTTCTTTTATTTATTTGATATATTAAATTGTAAATGTAAACTTTTTAGATTCAAATTGTGATTATATAGCGTTTACGAAAGAGTCTTTACTCTTTGTAAAGTGAATCTTCGTGGATTCTGATTTGCATAGAGGCTCATAATTTTATCATAGTCGAACTGAATGTCTTTGTGAATACACAAAAAAGAACAAACGCGTTAAATGTCTTCGCTCATTGAACATATGCGATTTTTTTTTATAAACTCCGAGGATGAGTTTGACCAGTAAGAAGACTAAAATCGTTTCATAAGATTAGATTCAAGTTTATGGCGATAGCTTAATGTTGACTTTACGTCTACGCCTCCCTTGTGTTAGCTGGCCGTATCTACTTTGCAATAAAAGTATTTTCTCAGGGAATGTGGAGGGGGAAACCTCTACGCCCCCCCACTCCAAGATCCGCCCCTATTTAATGTCTCCGTTAGTTTGTTAGTTAAGTAAAATAGTTTTTTTTTAATACGATTTAAGAATAAAAAAACTATATGTTTATTTAAGAATAATAAACTAAATGTTTATTTCTGAATAAAAAAAAAGTTTATTTCTGAATAAAAAAATAAATGTTTATTTCTGAATAAAAAAATAAATGTTTATTTCTGAATAAAAAAATAAATGTTTATTTCTGAATAAAAAAATAAATGTTTATTTCTGAATAAAAAATAAATGTTTATTTCGTAATAAAAAATAAATGTTTATTTCGTAATAAAAAATAAATGTTTATTTCGTAATAAAAAATAAATGTTTATTTCGTAATAAAAATAAATGTTTATTTCGTAATAATAAAATAAATGTTTATTTCGTAATAAATAAAAATGTTTATTTCGTAATAATAAATGTTTATTTCGTAATAATAAATGTTTATTTCGTAATAATAAAAGTTTATTTCGGAATAAAAAATGTTTATTTCTGAATAAAAGAAAAGTAAATATTTGTTACGAATAATCAAGAGTGGTCTCCCTTTGCTTGGTTACTCTCGTCTTTGAGAGAGCTATTTCTGTTTACTGGGACTATAAAAGAACACTGTACGCGAAGCTTGTATTGTCAGTTGAATAAAGCTTTCTTAAAGCCTACACCTGCATACTTTTGTCATTACAATTTATTTAAGAATGAAAACTAAATGTTTATTTAAGAATAAAAAACAATGTTAAAAATGTAGAATCGAAACCATAATTCACACGTTGAAAATGGCGAGTTAAAATTTATAAATACTAGAAATGCCTGTTAAAATTTCATGGTTTTCTTATTTTGATATTCTGATGAATCATAATTCTTAAGTTAATGATCGAGTAAGAAGATGGCGAGTTCGCTGACAATAAAATTTCCGTAGATATTTCCCTATCACATCGTGAAAATATTTGAGTTTAACAACTTTAACAAAATATTGCAATAACAATCATGAATATGAATGCTGGTCGTTATTTTAAGAAGTGGGTACAAATGAAAAAAAATGATTGAGATTGACAACTTTTTTCCATTTCAATGAAACAAACGTTATTTTCCTCTCTTTCCAAGGCCATCAAAACGGAATTTATGGGGTATTGGCAGGGCGTGACTGTTGGATGAACAAGCGTGGGGAGGGGGGGGCAGGTAGAATTATATGATAATTCAAATAGGAAAATTGTTATTATTCTTATTATTCTTCTTATTCTTATTACTCTTTTTATTCTTTTTTTCTTCTTCTTCTTCTTTTTTTTTCTTCTTTTTTCTTTTTCTTTTCTTCTTCTTTTCTTCTTTTTCTTTTTTCTTCTTCTTTTCTTTTTCTTCTTTATCTTTTTCTTCTTTTTCTTTTTCTTATTCTTTTTCTTCTTTTTCTTCTTCTTCTTTTCTTCTTCTTTTTTTCTTCTTTTTCTTCTTTTTCTTATTCTTTTCTTTTTCTTCTTTATCTTTTTCTTCTTTTTCTTATTCTTTTTCTTCTTTTTCTTCTTCTTATTTTCTTCTTTTTCTTATTCTTTTTCTTATTCTTTTTCTTCTTCTTTTCTTCTTTTCTTCTTTTTCTTCTTTTTCCTTTTCTTCTTTTCTTTTTCTTTCTTATTCTTTTTCTTCTTTTTCTTCATTTTCTTATTCTTTTTCTTCTTTTTCTTCATTTTCTTATTCTTTTTCTTTTTCTTCTTCTTTTCTTCTTCTTTTATTCTTTTTCTTATTCTTTTTCTTATTCTTTTTTTCTTTTCTTATTCTTTTCTTCTTCTTTTCTTCTTTCTTATTCTTTTCTTTTTCTTCTTCTTCTTTTCTTCTTCTTTTCTTTTTTCTTTTCTTTTTCTTCTTTTTCTTCTTTTCTTTTCTTCTTTTTCTTTTTTTCTTTTCTTTTCTTCTTTTTTTTATTCTTTTCTTCTTTTCTTCTTTTTTTCTTCTTCTTTTTTTCTTATTCTTTTTTTATTCTTTTTCTTTTTCTATTTTTTCTTATTCTTTTTTTTCTTTTTCTTTTTTCTTTTCTTCTTTTTCTTATTCTTTTTTTTTTTCTCTTTTTTTTCTTTTTCTTCTTATTCTTTTTCTTTTTCTTATTCTTTTTCTTTTTCTTATTCTTTTTCTTTTTCTTATTCTTATTATTTTTCTTATTCTTCTTCTTATTATTCTTTTTTCTTTTTCGTCTTTTTTTCTTATTATTTTTATTCTTCTTATTCTTTTTCTTTTTATTTTTATTCTTCTTATTATTGTTCTTCTTATTTTTATTCTTCTTATTTTTTTCTTATTATTTTTATTCTTCTTCTTCTTTTTATTTTCATTCTTTTTATTTTTCTTCTTCTTCTTCTTCTTCTTCTTCTTCTTCTTATTATTATTATTATTATTATTGCTTGTCTTGAATTAACGCGAATCGCACAAAACTATCAGATCGTTGGGTGATGTAGCTCAACATCCGCCATTTTTATTTAATGAGCGAACTTTTTTTTTGTTTTTCTTTTTGCTCTTACTCATATCGATTTCATAAAATTAAAACAGTTCCTGACACATATTGGCTTATAAATCTGACCGCATTTCTCACGAGAAGTCAATGCCATTTTATTTTAATTTTTAATTTTTTTTTTTTTTAACGGATATATCGGTGTGAGAAATAGCTTTTCAAAATGGAGAACTGCAGACAGAAAAAAACTAAACAAAAAAAAACACTCTAGTCAGAGAGAGAGAGGGGAGGTCATGTGTGGGTGGTTGCTCGAAATGAGAAACTCGGAGCGACGAGTTTGAAGTCCAGTCGAGTTCGTTATATTCCCCTACCCTTGGGAAAGGTATGAATTCGTCTCTTCACCCCCCCCAGATTTCCTTAAATAGAAGAACTTGTATCTGGAAAAATTATCGTTAGTCTAAAAAAAAAAAAAATGTTAATGCTGTATTCACTAGAAAATGAAAAATAAAAATTTCTTACAACCCAAAATATATTTCGGCTTTAAATAACACACAAAGGGTTGATAAACCGTAAAAAAAGTACAAATCAAATGGTATGTTGAAAAACGTTTAGATGCTATGAGCCCGTAAAAATACTTTTTCAGTCACTTCTCCACCGTCGAAATGTAGTTTCCCTGTGTCATACTTTCTTAGATACATTTTTCCTCTTTCGCATTATGTCTTTATAAATTTGAGCATAGTACTAGATTGGTAGTTAGGTCTCACCATTTTACACTTGAAATAGCTAGATTTAACTGTATATTTTATGCACGAGGGATTATTATCTTACACCTCTCGCTTATGGAACCCATTCCCGGATTTTTGCTTTCCAGTTTTAATTTGATCTTCAAAAAACTCAAACACAATGCCATTCGTTATCTTCTGTCTACTTAATAATTTTTCTTCATTTTTTTTTGTTCTCTCTTCTTAACGGTGTTTTCTTTTTGCTCATATTCTCTCACACTCAGTGCGTCTTAGTGGCGTTATTGCCTTCCTTGGAGTGAAATGATAAAAACAAAACAAAAACAATAAACAACAACAACAAAAAAAACAAAAACAAAAAATAAACTAAACCAAGAACATTAAAATAAGGATTTCGTTGGATTATAGATTCGGTTTACTAGGAGGAGGCACGGTGGAGTAATGGATAGCGGCTCGGAGACCCGTGTTCGAATTCCAGTCGAATCCTTTACAGTCACTTACGTGCTAATACCCTTGGGAAAGGTATGAATCCTCTTCTTATACCCCCCCTTCTAGCTATTGGTAAATAGCAGGACAGACCAAGTTCTATAGCCTTGGATGGCAACTGGTCTACCGCACAAAGAGATAGCAACCTAATGCGGGAAAAAAACAGCCTCGTCAATCATGTATCGAGAGACACATGATCGCCTAAGTGATGGCAGCTCGGATTCACTCTCGCTAACATTTTTTGTCGAGATTCTAGGTTTACAAGGAGGAGGCACGGTGGCGTAATGGATAGCAGTTCGGAGAAATCGGAAAGCCGAGTTCGAATTCCAGTCGAATCCATTACTTTCATTTACGTGCTAATACCCTTGGGAAAAGTATGGATCCTCTTCTTCTCCCCACAGCTAAGGGTAAATACCAGGTTTCTATAGCCTTGCATGGCAACTGGTCTACCGCAGAAAGAAATGGCAACCTACTGCGGGAAAAAAATCTGCCTTGTCCGTCATGTATCGAAAGATCGCCTACGCGTGTATTACGCAAGGCTCGTAACTGGCTTACTCTCGTGTCAAAAAGTAGGACATTAGTCCGGTTGACTCAAGAGTAATGCCGATGACTCAGTTATCACTGCAGACACCATAACCAATGCCACAGTTTTCCTACATCATCTAGAACAGAGGTCAGTAACCTAAGGCACGCGTGCCATACGTGGCACGCCAAGCAATTTCCAGTGGCACACAGCCGCAAATGACATCACGAAGTCCGAACCAATAACCACTACAACGCAAAGGGGATATCTAGCTATTTCAAAAGTGCTCACTCGTTGGACTTTCATTAATAATAAAAACTTTAGAAAAAACTATTAAAAACAGTTTATTTCTATTAATGTGACATATTATTGTATATATCATTACTGATTTACTAATAAATATTTTAATGCTTTTCAACCCATGACCATTTCCAGAGAGTTATAAGGAAAGTGACATAGTCTCTATTAAAAATACTGAAATTTCCTCAACGGATCGTTAGGCCAAGAAACAAGATTGAACCCCTCACTACAAACAACTGCCTTTATTTAAGATATCCCCCTACAATCCCTCTCTGTGTCGCAATCTCTTTTTGTTTCTCTACGTCCCTTCTCTTTCTCGCTCTGTCTCTCTCTCTGTCTGTCTGTCTGTCTGTCTCTGTTTTACTCTCTATGTCTCTCTCTCTCTTTCCATTTCCCCTCTCAGTTGCTCAACACAATCTGGGTTTAATAGGATTTTTGATTAGATAACCTTCATCTGTTATTATTTTATTACAAAACGATTATAATTATTAAAGAAAGATTTTCATTTCAAAAGGCCACTTTCTGTTCAAGGACAAATTTGTCTTAAAACAAAGTCCGAAAACATGATTTAACCCTGGGGTCGGCAACCTACGTAACGTGTGCCACTGGCACGCAGCCTCAAATGACATCACGAAGTCCGAACCAATAACTACTACAACACAAAGATATTTAGCTGTTTCAAAACAGTTCACTCGTTGAACTCCCATTAATAATAAAAACTTAAAAAAATGTTAAAAACAGTTTATTTCTATTAATATGGTTTACATATTATTGTATACATTAAGAAATGAACAAAGTCCGACAATTTATTAAAGACATTTTTAAAAAATAAAAATAAATATAAAAAGAATGTTAAACATAAAAATGTCTTTAATATTATTGTATATATTACTATATAAAATATAAGTAAACCTAAAGAGCCAGACAAACCTACCTAGTATAGCTGCTTATATTTATAAGATTATTAGTATTATATAAAATATATTGTAGAACAGGCATATTGACCTTGACTTGTATAAAAATACATATTCTGTTGGCACACTAAATGATTTTAAAACCCTAAGTCGGCACATAGCAAAAGGTTGCCGACCCCTGATCTAGAAAACGCTGCCAACGATGTTGGACTCTATCAATGACTCTAGAAATGAATTCACAGGCTTCATACAAACTTCCCTAAGCGAATCAATAAAATCTGTTGAATCTTTTACATAGCAAGAAAGCGAGATAAATTCTACTGAAAAGGATGTGAAAATTCGCATAGCTAAAGCCTGGGCTGCCTTGAAAAAAAAATGGATGTAATCTGGAAATCTGCCCTACCAGACAACCTCAAGCGGAGATTCTTTTCACTATAGAGACGGTGTTAATGTATGATGTCACTGTCTGGACATTAGCTAAAACCCTTAGGTCTAAGCTTGATGGAACCTACACTCGGATGCTGAGAGCTATACTTAAAATGTCTTGGAGACAACAACCAACTAAATCACAATTTTATGAAGCCACCCCCTGATATTTCTACAATCTTACGCAAACGCAGGTCATTGCTGACGAACAAAAACAAGAACTCGCGAGAAATCTGGGCAACTAGCCGTTGAGCAAGACGGATTGGTTACCCAGCAACCACCTACATTGATCAGCTATGTTATAACACAGAATGTCGCCCTAATGACCTTTCGATGCAGGGACGTGCTGATTGGTGTGATAGTCTCACGAATATCCAAGCTAGGTCGACCGAATAATGAAAAATATAGACATAGGCCCGTTTTTGCACCCAGTAAAAAAAATAGATAAAACTTTACATTTGACTCAAAAGCAATCATTTAAGACAATGTGACAGAACACTATGCGTTCTTCACTTATTGTTGTAAAGTAGTTTCTCATAGTGAAGGCTTGTACTTCACTAAGTCGGTCCTAAAAAAAGGTTCGACGTACAAAGCGTTAGGAACTTGAAATAAGAGTTAATGACGCAGCAATCTAGTTGTGAAGGTTGATACTTCTATGTCCGACATCAACGGACTCACTCAACACCACTGAGCTCAACTGGCCACTGCTACGACTACTTATTATCTGTGGGAGAGTCTATTAATAATAGAATAGGTACGTTCAGGTATGACACTTATGAATGTCCATTAAGTTGTTCAGTGTATTCTTAAATGCTAAATTCTTAAACAGCCGTTATATATACATATATACATACAGGGTGTCCCAAAAAATTTGACATTATTTTAAAAGCAATTATCTTGAAAACTGCTAAGTCTAGTTCAATGAAATTGAACAGTTTAGGAGTTGAACATCATAAGTTTATTATGGGACCGATTTCATAAGTGTTCAACACGCGCACCGTCTGTGACATGGCACGCGTCAGGTCGGTGGTGCTCTTGCCAAACACGGTGATGCTGATGATGGTCTACCAGATTCTTTAGCCCCGCATAAGCAGCGTTCCTCTTGCCAGAGGAAGTTTATTCCAAATTTTTGAATTGAAGGCAGGTTGCCGAGTCTTGGGTGACTGTGGTGCGAGCATATTTCAAGACGCAAAATGACTTCTCTTTGAGAGTGAACGGAGTGGCGCAGCCTGAAAACAGAACCAAAATAAAACATTAAATATAAAAATCTTGATCTGTTTCTATACATTCTGTGAAAATTTGAGGTTGTTTCAATAAGAACTTCCAAAATCATGTCAAATTTTCTGGGACACTCTTTC